AGACCTGCTGCGCAAGTACTACTTACGCCAATAAACCCCGTTTCAGAGTGGTGGAGGAGCAGGGTAACTCAACCTCAAACTCCGCAACAAGAAACTACCTGCCATCCCACAAATGGCTGAAGAAAACACCCAGCAAGGTACGACCCAACCTCCGATGGTCATCGTGCCCACTGCGATACGCGTGCACGATCCACCTTTTTTCGACGGTACTGATGAGCAAGACGTAAAAGATTGGCTGTCGACATTTGAAAAGGTACGCGCAAGCAAAAAGTGAGACGACCCTTCGAAGCTGCAATATATACCCTTTTACCTTAAAGAGGTAGCGAGTTTCCCGTTTAACAACCACACTCGGAATTCGCCACTTGGGGCGCTTTTAAGCTACGCATTTCCTATGTGTGTAGTCACCCAGAGGTACTCAAGCTTCGAGCCGAACAGCGCCTATGGGGACGCACACAGCTTTATGGGGAAGGCTTCACAATCTCCATCGAGGATTTGCTCGATTTGTGCAAGCGCCTTTACCCTTCAATGATCGAAGCAGACAAGATCAAACACATTTTGAAGGGAATAGACGATGACACCTTCCAGATGCTGCTGGCCAAGGTCCCACGTAACGTGTCCGATCTTACCACTCTTTGCCAGAGCTTCGAGGAGTTGCGCAAGCAACCAGTCATGACACGGCGGCCAGCAGCTACCGATGAAACTCTCGCGCCATTGACCCTAGGTGCAGACCACAGCACAATAATGTCGGAAATCAAACGATATGTGCGCGAGGAGGTGGCCCGACAACTTTCGTGCCTGTCGTATCTACCGGCAACGGCAACCTCTTCTGAGCGCCTCGCGCCCGCCATCAGGCAGGTAATACGGGCACAGGTCTCTGAGGCGCTGCCGTCAGTCTCTCAGACAGCACCCGTCACCGCGCCATTGACTTGCGCTGCTCTTGCTGCTACTCTGCCACGACCTCCACTTGCGCCGACTCCCCAGCCTGTACAAGTACCAACGACGCCATTTCCAGCAACACAACAGCGCTATAACGGAAACCCTTGGGGCGCAGTTGACAATCGCCCGATCTGTTACGCATGCGGATATCCAAGTCACGTGACGCGCTTCTGTCGCCGGCGCTTCGCAACGGGCCCGGCTGCAGCTCCAAGGTACTCTGAGTACTCTTTCCCGGCCCCGTACAACGCACAACGAGAACTGCCCCGTCAGTGCAACCGACAATCAGTGGAACGCGACCCGTCACCAACCGAACTAGACCACCACCCTGCTGCCGACTACCGACCATTCGGCCCCCGTCGCTCATCCTCACCACGCCGCCACTGTTCTCCGTCCCCTCTGAGTCACTGATTAAACCTCGTAGAGACGGAAAACTGAATGTCGCAGCTCCGAAGGCATGAGCTGCGAAATCGTCGCATTGTACAAGTCCTACCCGTCCCCCACAAACGTTATGGAAGTGTTTGTTGAAGGTCTACGAACTCTTGTGCTTGTTGACAAGGGTGCTGCTGTATCTGTAATGAGTCATAACTCTGCCGTTCGATACGAAAAGTAACGACGACGCCTTTCGACGTTTTGCTGAATACCGTGAGCGCGCAACCAATTCGACCAGTCGGAGCATGTACCGCGAGAGTAATCATTCAGGACGTCCTGTACCACATCGAGTTTCTCGTGTTGACCGCTTGTTCCGACTACGTGATACTTGGATGGGATTTTTTGTCACGCCACCACGCCGTAATTGACAGCACTCGCGTGCAGGGGGAATTTTCCGTGTTTTCAGATGCGCCATCTACCGACAATGAGCGCACTTACCTAGGCAAGCTTCTTGTAGCTTCCGACATTGATGTTCCTTCTCTTAGTGCCATCGTTGTCCTCGTCAATCGTACTGAATTGTCCAGCTCTACTGTTGTGTTCTCCCCATCTGACGTTTTCAGTCACCGCCACGGTACGTCTCTGCCGTACGCCGTTCTGCCACCTCATCAAGATACTTCCGGAACTGTCGTTTGCAATCCTAGCTCATGCCCTCTCACCTTAAGAGCTCACAAAACACTGGGCTATGTTCTTGCTGTTGATGAGAACGTTATTGTGCCTATCGAGTCCCACGACCCTGGCCAGCAACTTCAATCAACTGAACGCTGTTACTCCTCTCTTTTAGCGGGATGACTACTCCTCGGATATCTTCAATCGTTCCATCGACAGCAAGCTTCCTCCGGATCAACGGGACCAGCTAATAACCCGTCTGCATGAATTCCGAGATTAATTTGCTCTTCCTCAAAAGGCACTGAGTCAAACTAACACCGTCGCTCACACAATCTACACTGGAACGCACCCTCCTTTGCGGCGACGCCCCTACCGCGTATCACCCAAGGAACGAGGTGTAATTGCAGAGCAGGTGGACGATATGCTTCAGCACAGTGTCATCAAGCTATCTTATAGCCCCTGGTCTTCACCTATTGTGCTAGTGAAGAAAATAGTTGGTTCAATTGGAGTTTGTGTCGACTACCGGCGACTGAACAAAATTACACGGAAAGATGTATACCCTCTTTCCCACATCGACGACGCTATCGATTGCTTACAAGGTGCCCAATTATTTTCTTCGCTGGACTTACGTTCACGTTACTGGCAGGTTCTGATGGCATAGTGTGAGTGTCCCAAAACCGCGTTGGTTACGCCGGATGACCGATACGAATTTATGGTTATGCGATTCGGTCCGTACAATGCACCTGCAACGTTTGAATGAATGATGGACAGCATTTTACGCGGCCTTAAAGGGCAGATATACTCATGTTACCTTGATAATGCTATCGTATTCTCTCCTGATTTCCCTACCCACGTCGACCGTCTATGCACAATTCTTCAGCGTCTTATTAAGGCAAACCTCCAGCTTATCCTTAAGAAATGCTGCTTCGGGGCTCGCCAACTTACTATACTTGGTTACGTTGTGTTAAAGGATGGAATTTGCCTCGACCCGGACAAACTTCCAGTCGTAGCCGACTTTCCGAAGCCGACTTCACTCAAAGAACTTAGGAACAAAGCTTTCGCAGGCAAAGAAAGCGGTGTGGTCATTTCTGGGCCTTACCTGTTTTTTTACGGATTTCGTTTACAACTTCTCAGAGGTGGCCCACCCACTGACCAAGCTGACGAAGAAGAGAGCTCCTAATAAAATGGTCTGGGGGAAAAAAGAGCAAGATGCATTCGAACAGCTAAATCGGATGCTTTATAGCCAGCTAATATTCAAGACCCCCGACTTCACGAAGCCATTCGTTCTGTGCACGTGTGACTCAGCTAAAAGCATGTGATTTGTCCTCATGCAACTCCATGACGTAGTTCTTTATGCCGCGGCATACGCAAGTCGCCAGCTGCTGGAACGCGAGAAAATTTATTCGACCATTGAACTAGACGGTCTGGCGGTTGTGTTGGCAGTGAAAAAGTTTCAGGTATTCTTATTGGGCAAATCATTCATTTTGCAATGCAACCATGAGCCCCTTGCCTATATAAACGCGGCGAGGCATGTCAACAATCCTGTGCTGCGCTGTAGTTTCACTTGCATGGAACATAAGTTAACCATGCACTAAGAGCAGCGACAATGTAGGGGCAAACAACATGAGCCGTGTTTAATCAACATTTTGTGTTCGAGTGAGTGTACCTTTCTGTCATGTTATGTATCCACTGGAATGTGCATCTCAATGCACTAAGTAGCGGGTATTTTGTGTTTATGGACGAGATTTTGTTACGGTATACATGCATGTCATTTCATGTAATCTGTGAAAGTTGTTTTATACTCGCATTGCGTACGCGTCACGCTTAAAATAAACTGGGGAATAAACCACTGTGTTTGTGTTCTTGTGTAGCCGTATATGCTTCTCGACAGTGCTATAGTGAAAAGTTGTGCCCTAGACAACTTGCTTAAGGAAGGGGGGGGGGGTCATTGTAGTGATTGGAATGTATTCCAGAAATACACAAGATTCTTGTCCACAAGGCAGCAGCTAGACGCAATTCTCTCACCGGATGGAATTCCGAGAACCATCCTCAGACAGTCAGAATAAATCAACAGACTTAAACAAAAGTGCTCCGGCACTAGACGTCTGGCATTTTGTGAGAGAAACGAGGAGGAGCCGCGCCCTAGGCCGGTGTCGGATGACCATGGGGTAGAGAACGTCAGTTGGAGGAGCGCCACGCTGAAGTTTGGATCTCGCGAGCTCTAACAGGCACGCACAGACGAAGCGGCTCGCACCTATGGACGAGGAAAAGCCTTGATATCACCAACTCCGTCGGTCACAGCCGTCGTCAACACTAAATGGGAGCTGCAAACCACGACTGGAAAGCCACCGAGCAACAGATGTTGATTACAATTGCATCGCGTCGGATGATGCACAATAATCTGTGAGCTATTGTTCCATATGGACTGTCTCATTGCAGGCCTCGTTCAACGTGTCGGGCGTGTAATTTGTGTGCACTAATCTTGATATTTTCTGAAGAGATGGTTCTAATAGCCACTGTTGCTTACTGATGCTGCTCGCCTACCAGATAAATATTTTCGCTGGCAACGTTACGGGTGAGGGTTGGTTTATTGTCGGGATTTCACTCTGTCCGTTGGAGTTTTACAAAACGCATCTTGAAAGAGCGTCGTAATTAAAGACCACGCTCTTCAGAGAGCGAACCGAGAGCTCAAAGTATCTTTATTGCCCTCCCATTCCACCCTCTTGCTATTCTTTGCGCACATGATTTCTTTTCATTTTTTCTATATTCAAAGTTCACGGAGGCAATAAAGTTTGGATAAACACACCGCTGAAGAATGCAGTCCATGCCCGGACGAAAACGAGTACTATTATCAAAGAACTAGTCTCGGCGAAATTCTTAGATCGATGATTTTTCGTTCACTTCACGCCCCTATCTTTTGCAAAAACTGCGGCATTTTAAAAATATTTTTTCTTATAAATTATTGCGAAACCTGCAGCATTAAAAAAATCCACATTTTATAAATCACGTGTATGTCAAGTAGTACTAACCTTTGTAGTGTTGCCCAGCATGAATCTGACTTTCTCGGGAAGTTCGCTAAAATCATCTGAAATAAGAAGAGTAATTAAACTGTGAGTAGAGCTCTCCACGGAGGTGAAGTACTGAATAATCGTCAATTTGGGCATTGAGACAGAGAATCGCTCAAATAAGTGATGAGAGCCAAATTACTCCCAAAAGGCAGTCTCATTAATGGCAAGCACATAAAGTCGAACCAACTGATAACAATGCTTAAGTGCCACTGAAATTTTCGTGTTTCAACTCATGATTTGTAGAAACGGGTTGCATAAAAAGCAAAATAGAAGGATGACAGGCTCTTGTGAGAAAACTATGTTATGAGATCGGATATGCCAACGAACGTCAGTGATGTGGATAATGATGAGAAGATGCTTAACTATTCACTCTTTCATCGAACTGCCAAGAACCCCTTAGAGCCAATTAGGACAATTGAAGTTTTGACTGAATAAATAATTCCAAGACTCCACGTTTCACTCGAACTGCATGTCTGAAGGTGCATTAACAGAAGCCACTGCCCCTCCTGTACCGTAGCGTGTTTGTAAGTCTGCATCTGTTGATAAAGCCGCACACAAAGGAATACAAAAACACACACATAAAGGGCACGGGTTGGGGGTGGGGGCTAGCTTCAGTTATTTGTTTTATTCGGACTTTTCAAGCATATCACCTTCAATTTCCTTTCAGAATTTACACCCTACAGCCAGAGTATATTGTTGCATGCGATAATGCGGCGTGCGGGCGTTGCTGTAAGCGGCGTATTTCCTCATAAAAAGTACAAAGGTAAACTGTGCAGCACCTTCTAATTGCTATAGCTGATATAATGTGAAAATGGCTTTTGATATAAGTGAATATGACTTACTAAAGCACAACTCAGTATACTTTCGGAATATCGCTAACCCCACGGAGCTAGATAGCTTTGACATAAGGAATTTTGATTGAGAGAGACAAGTTGTTAGTTCGTCCGCCTGTGTTTGTTGTACACTGTAGCCTGCTACTTTACATTGTTGAAAATAAAACCTGTAAGAAAATTGAAAGTGCTCAATGAACTGATAAGAACAGCAACAGGCGAAGCGTACGTACAATAACCACGTAACACAATGATTTTATAAATGTCCTTATGCCCACTTTACTAGCATTCAGCCACTTTGTAAATATCTTTGTAGCATTTTCTGCGGCTGTCTGGTCAGACATACCGAATAATAGATCAGGTTCATTGAACGCTTCACACCGATGCCTGACAACCTTAAAGCCAGCGTCTTCCGTTCGGACACTCATAGAGAACAAACCGACTATAGCTGGGTCCCAATCTCTTCTAATTGGAAAGGACTCAAGCTCCGCATGGCTTACAAAGAGCACGTAGTGGCATGGATGGTGATGCCCAGGTTAATCTAGTGTCGCTAACTGGAGGGACTTCAATTTCTCGAGCCGCGAGTTCAAACGTCATGGGAGTGTTTTCTACTGACGCCTACATCAATCGTCTGAGCTGAGCCAGTTATGCATTCTCGGGAAAGTGATATTAGGAAACGTTAACCACTCCTCACAAATAAGAAACCTTTATCTCAAATTTATCCACGGGAGCTTTTAGAGCAGCATAAGCCACATAGTTGCTTGCAAAGTCACGAGGCCTTGGTAGCCATTGGAGACAAAATGAGTGACCATTTTATTGCGTGAGATGGAACGCTTATGTTAATTTGAAGCCAGTGTCTGTTGTACTTTTAATGAGAACCAGGAACTCGTAATGCTAGTTTCGCATAGAGATTATTGCACATTTTCGTGGTGTTTGGTTGGACAAAAATGGAGCAGCTTCCCTTTATACCAACTATTTCTGTTGAAGATGACTAAGGGTATAACATGCAATGCCCAGCGGTACCTAAGCGAGGGATCATAAAGACCGCCGTCTAAGCACACGAAGTCACAGACTTATGAGAGTATTTATGTATAGAGTCCTCATTCAACTTGCCCAAATACGCCAAGCACCAAGACCAGTACAAGGAACATGCGACTCTTACAGAATATCGGGTAATTGAAGGCGCGTCGGTGGTTGAGGCCGTGGCAACATCACCACCCCTGGGATGACAGCGTGTGCAAAGCATACAGAAATTATATGATCGTGAGCAATAAGGCGTTCTAAAGAGGCGCTACCTGGTCAGCTTCTCTGCGTTGGAGAGGAGTTGTGTGAATGCTCGTCGGTCAGCACTCGCAGGTAGGCTTGGAAAGGGCCGTAAGGCATGCAAAACTTTCTATAGCTTAGGTGCAGGAATGCGATACAAGCTCTTGTTTTTTCTTCGTTAGAACTCTAATGAAAATCAACAATCAATGGAGTGAAGACATGCATTGAATACGTTATTTGTAGTTTTTTAAACTGTGTTGTAGTAATTATGGTATAAATTATTATGAAAACGTCAACAAAAACCACCAGGCCTGCGCGGAGTGCGCAGCCCAACCACAATGAAAGCTGAAAGAGCGGCCTTTCAGAGCATTTTCTCAACACTGATCGGGTAACTGCTACAATCACACTTGGTGGATACCCACTACGCCATAAATAATTCTTTTTTGTGTAGTAGGGAGACACCGCTAGGGGGCCACGGAGTGTGGACGTGTTGCGCGTCGGCTCCGCAACTTTCCTATGTTTTTGGTGGATTGTCGAATTTATCGTGGAAAACGCTTCTCACCATCGATCGGCGGCAGTTTCAAGGACTTCCCTGACACCAAGTTTTGCCAGGTGGGACCACTTTTTGGCCACTTATTGGCGCCTTTTATTCCACCACGAAAGCAAGAACGCCGAGTCCAGCGTCTCTGCGCACGACGCCATAGGCCGGCCGCAGCGGCGGTGGGGCCTGCAAGCCTAACGTGTCGCCGGACCTCCTCGGAGCTCCCGATCCCCGACGGCAGCGTACAAGGCCTTTGCCAGGGCTAAATGGATGTCGTAGAGGTAGAAGGAGAGGACATTCGGCCGGAAGGTTTCGGCGAGGGAGAAGGATGGTGCAGCGTAAAGAGAACGAAACAGGCCGACGGCGCGTCCGAGTCAGCGCAAGACCAGAAGACGGAGACGCAGCAACAGGCGGCTGCCGCGGAGACTACAGGGATTGCTCCGGATACTGCCACGGCGGCGCAGAACAAAAAGAAGTGTGCTCGTTACTTGCAGCTCCTCGCTAAGGCGAGCCGAATGCCAGAGCTACCGCCCGATGACTACAGGATCATTGTGCGCCCCCGCGGCGGATTCAACGGGGCTGAATACAAGATAGATCGCATTTACTGCTGCCTTCGCAACGCGGCAGGTATCGGTAGAGAAGCGGCTAGAGAGGACAGCATCTGCCTCAACGTTAAACAGAACGTCGTGGTGCTCAGCACTCCGTCCGCGGACAGAGCCAAACGCTACGGAGCCATCAGCAAGCTTTGCATCGGGAACCGAGAGTTCGAGGCGAACGCCTACCAGGCCGCCCCGGAGAACACTTCCAAGGGCCTGATTAGGAACATTTCCAAAGACGAGAGCCCGGAGGACATCGTTAACAACCTAGTGACGCAGCGCAACCCCGGCGTGCTGCATGCCAAGCGAATGGGCACCACGGACAACATCATCGTATTGTTCGACGGTTTCCATGTTCCCAGACACGTATACTATGGACCTATGCTTGTGAGATGCTCCCTCTACAGAAAGCACATCGACGTGTGCTACGCGTGCGGGAGGCTGGGCCATCGCTCCGACGTGTGTCCCAACCCTGCCGACAAGATTTGCCGTGGCTGCGGAAGCAGTAACCCACCATCTGACCATCGCTGCGAGCCGCGGTGTCAACTGTGTGGCAAGGATCATCTCACGGGTGACCGCGTCTGCAAGGCGAGATACAAGACTCCTTACATAGTCAAGCGTCGCCGCCTAGAGCGAAAGCGGCGTGAAGAAGAGCAAGCGGCCGCAGCGTCCGACAGCATCTACAACAGCGGCATAAGCACCGAAGGCAACGGAGGTTACTACAATCATTATCCGGCGTTTGACAGTCATTCATCCAACGCCCCCCGAAGAGGACGCTCGAAAAGCCGAGACGCGAGAGGCGGCGGCGGTAAATCCCGGTCCCGCTCTCGCAGCCGGACACCAAGGCCGAGAAGCATGTCGAAGACGCGCGGTGGCGCCGTTCCGGGCGCCGCAGCTGTCAACCAAGGCACCCAACAAAGTCAGCAGCATCAGACGTGGCGGCAGCCGCAACAACAAGGACCCATGGGCACATGGCAGCAGGTGAGATGGGCGGATGTAGCCGCCTTTCGCGCCGGCGGCGTTGTTTCGGCGGGACGTTCTGGCGGTCCCGCCGTCGGTGGCGGCGGTGGGATCGAGCTCAAGCTAGCGGTAGAGCGAGCGCTAGAACAACGCCTAGGACCATTACAATCGATAATTTCAGAGCTGAAACGCGAGAACGCCGCCCTTGGAGCGGAAAATTCCAAATTGAAAGGAGAGGCTCCACGAATGCAACAACCGCAGCAACAGTCGACGGCGCTGCCACCACCGACGCCTCGGTCTTCGACTCCGTTGAGACCCGAGGCGGCGGGGATGGACACGGATGACGAGAGCAGTTCGGGAGAGGGGGCAGGTGGACGTGAAGACCGCCCGTGTACCGCGAAAAGGATAGCACTAGATCCTGCCAGGCACGAATCCACACAGCGATTTGGCCGTTATGATAAGCTACAGAAACAAATCGATACTATCGAGACCAGCCTCGATGAACGTTTTGCTAAACAGGTGGCACAGATGAATGACATGTTCAATAGTGCGATAGCTAAGCTCTCTGAACAAATGACACAAATGCTCACCGCGCACACGGCGCGCATAGAAAACATTGAAGCGCGACTCCCGCCATCTGCGGGCAGACCGATTAGAACGGTGAGTAAGCCCTACGCTAGACAGCAACAGAGTCAGCAGCAGCAGAACGCTCTGCCAGACGCCGAGCTGCAGATTCAGCCGCACCCCAGTCGCCTCGACGGCGATGGGCTAAATTAAACACAAGCATCACCATGGCTAGACACGCGCACACTCACACTAACACTCAC